TAAAGGTGAGCTCCACCATATCAAAGGCTTTGTAAAAATCCAAAAAGAAAATTACTCCATCATCCTCCACCAGATGTTCAAAGTCCAGCAAATCTAAAACCAGTCTCAGATTATTGTGAATAGATCTCTCCTCTTCTTATAGTTTTTAATAATGCGTTGGACAGATCTTAACCCAATTTTAGTCGTTTCTGCAATTTCCTTAGAAGTTTTCTCTGCTTGATGCCAATGATTTGACCCTTCTCAAACAGACTTGACATCTTTTCCACGACCAAACGATGCATCTTTGACATGATTGTTTAAGAAATGAGAAGTAACTCATTGCATCATTTGGGGTTAAATAATTTGTTACCAGCTGAAAGATAATCACCCATGCAGTAATTATACAATAGGAGGCTCGTACCTATTTGCTTAGTTAAATCTAGGTGGCGACTTTTGTTTGGCCAGGCAGTGTATGTTTCTCAGCCACAATATAAACACCCAATAAAACATTCATTACCCTTGTCTGAAAATTCTCTGACACTTCCCCTGTTTATGAATTTTTATTACATTATCAAAATCAATCTTTGTAATGATGCTTTATGCATGTGACAGAAAACCCATTGGCAAAACAGTTCAAAACAGTTTAAAAACAGTCTAAACAGTTCAGTAAAAGGGGAAACATCACACCGCCTCGGTGCCTTTACCAGCGACGACCTAATGACGCATTTCAGCGTCTCAGCTGGGAGGATTAGGATATATGTAAATATCCATCCATTATCTTCCACTTGTTCTGAAACTGGGTCGTGGGGGCAGCAGCTTGAGCAGGGAGTCCCAGACATCTTGTTCCTCAGCCATTTGAACATAGGAGCATCTGTGGTGGAAGTGGTCTCCAGCTACAAGTACTTGGGTGTACACCTGAATGACAACGTCAGCTGTAGCAACAACACCACCAGTCGGATCAAGAAAGCTCATCAGAGACTCTACTTCCTCAGACGGCTGAGACGAGCTGGTCTGGGAAGCTCAGTCCTCACCTCCTTCTACAGGTGTGCAGTGGAGAGCATCCTGTGCTCCAGCATCAACGTGTGGCATGGAGGCTGCACAGCTGCAGAAAGAAAAGCTTTGCAGAGAGTGGTGAAGGCTGCACAGAAGTCTGTTGGAGTCTGTCTCCCCACCATCACAGACATCTACACCTCCAGATGTAGAAAGAGGGCCACCTGCATCATGAAGGACCCCACTCACCCAGCACACCCACTTGTTGCCCCACTCCCCTCAGGAAGGAGGTTGAGGAGCATTAAGTGTAGAACCACTAGACTGAGGAACAGCTTCTACCCTGAGGCTGTTAGACTCATGAATCCCTAACCAGGATTATCACTGTAATGCCACTTGATTGTTGATATGTGCTGCTGACTGTCCATGTTGCTGATCTTATGCTGCTGATTTATTTCATGCTGCTGTGTTCATTTGTACTCATCTGCTCACACAGACTCATGTTCGTGCTGCTGTTGTTCAGTGCATTGTTTTGTACTACTAGTGCTTAGTGTATTCTTAGTATATATCTTAGATCTTATTACTGTTTTTCTTTACAATTTATACTTCGGTTGCATGTAACTGGGACCCTGTGTACACAGTTTCGTTCCACCACATATGATGTAAATTACAAATAAGAAACTTTGACTTTGACCTCTTTCAGCTCTTCTGGGAGGACTCCAAGGCGTTCCCGGGCCAACCGAGAGATGTAGTCTCTCCAGTGTGTCCTGGGTCTTCCCCGGGGTCTCCTCCCAGTTGGATATGCACTGAGCCTGTGTAGGTTTATTAAGGAGAATAATATTTATGGATATAAAACTGTTTTAACTATATCTGTTTTAACTATATATAAAACTGTTTTAACTCCAACAAAGATATATATATCTTTGTTGGATTTTACTTTGCATTGAGCAGAAGTTTTTCATTTTATTTATTTTTTCCCCAGACTTATTCCCAATATGTTCCCTAACTACATCCGTGCCCCCAATGGAGCAGAGGCTAAACCAGTCAGTCAACTGTACAAAGGTCAAAGTTCACATAATTCTCACTATTTACAATGCAAAACTTTGTTATGAGCTGAAAAGAAAATCAAAATGATCAGAAATCAATTTACATATTACTCCCAGTGAACACACTGGTTCACTGAAATCTGTGAGGAAAAAATAACGGCCTGTCTTTTTTTTTGGTGACGTCTCCTTTTTTTATTTTTTGTCAAACTGGCGGTCTTGCAGATGATGAAGATGATTACCTGGATATAACACTGTCCCTGATGAGTGACCGGTCTCTGAACGGCACAGGGAGCCAGGAGTGGTGGAACATTGCCATTGCGAACTGTGAGCCTTCATTATGTGACGTGCTACCAATGGTCATATTTAACGACAAAGTCAGCCCACCGAGCCTGGGATTCCTGGCTGGATACGGGTAAGAAACACTGACGGGGCCAGAGGGATAGAAAACTATCACTCAGAAATAATTGATTCACTCCCTTGGATGTTGTACCCTTATATTGCTATTATAAATCAGTTACGGGCAATTTAAGTTGGCATTTTTGACAAAAATTTTAAAAAGCCTTCTATTGTTAAAGTGGTCAAATTTTTACAGTGTCATGCCAGTAAAATCAAAATGTGTAATATAAACTAAGTGATTGCATAAAAATTTACCCTCTTTAAAGAGACTGAGCCACTTAATGCTCAAAGTGAAATGTTAATCACCATAGGGAAGTCTATGTGTCTTTAGTGATTGCAGTATAAAAACGTTTGTATTTGGAAGGTCTATTTAGGTATGTTCAGTTAAACAGTATTTCTGGTTATCATTACACCATGACGGTAAAACGACACTCCAAGCAACTCAGAGAAAAGATTATTGAAAAGTAAAAGTACATGGATTTAAAAGGCTTTCCAAGGCTCATAACATACCCAGGTTGTCCATCATCAAGAAATGGAAGGAATATGGAAGATGTTTAAATCCATCCAGAGCAGGCCATCCTCACAAACTGAGTGACTGTGCAAGAAGGGAAAAAAGATCACCATGACACCTGTGAGCAACAACTGTTGCCCGAGTTCACCACCAGTCCAAGCTTTATGGGAGAGTGGCAAAGAGAAAGCCACTGTTGAAGAAAACTCATAATAAGTCCCAACTAAAGTTTGTCAAACAGTATGTGGATGACTCCATGGTCAAGTGGAGGAAGGTTATGTGGTCGGATGGGACCAAACTGAAGCTTTTTAGCCATCGGACAAGACGCCATGTTTGGTGTAAACCAAATGCTGCACAACACCACAAATATATGTTGTAGCAGCATTGTGCTGTGTGGATGCTTCTTTGCAGCCAGCCCTAAGGCTTGCAAAGATTAAGGGTAAAATAAATGTTACAAATTAAAAGGAAATCCTGGAGGACAATCTGATTTTTGAAAAAACAACAATGGCTTGGAATAATAATAATTTTACAGCAACACAATGACCCCAATCAAACGGTGACAAACGGCACAGAAGTGGTTTAAAGTCAACAAGGTGAATGTTCTGGAGTGGTCGAGTCAAAGACCTAACCCAAATCCAATAAAGAATTTGTGCTCGACTTATAAAGGGCTGTTCATATCTGATCCGCACACAACCTGGCAGAGCTCGAGCAGTTTTGTAAAGAATGGAGTAAAAATCCAGTGTCCAGATGTGCAAGACTGACTGGGACTAATCCAGGCTCATTGATGTAACTGCAGCCAAAAGGTGCTTTTACTAAATACTGATGTGAACAGGGTGAATATTTATCCAGTCAATTATTTTACATCACTTTTTTTCTTTCGGCTGCTCCCTTCTTCAGGGGTCGCCACAGTGAAATAAGTCGCACGAAGACTTGGTGATTGTGGTTGTGTCAGGAAGGGCATCTGACATAAAAACAGACACTGAGCTACCACAGCCCTGTGTGTGGAGCAGAGAGCTGCCATCTAGGGTGCCCGGGGGAGCAGATGGTGGGGGTTAATGGCCTTGCTCAAGGGCCCAGAGTGGGGCAAATGAGGGTGGAGACAGGTGTGGGTGTTTCACCTTTTCCACCCACATTTTTGGTGTTGTCAGTATAGGGAGTCAAATCTTCTGATCATAGGCCCACATTCTCTAACCTCTGCGCCACCACTCCCCACTTACTTTACATCACATATTTTTATTTGGTGTTACTCTTTAGAAATTTGATTTCACAGTATTTTTTTTTTTTCATTTAGCCTTTATTTATACAGGTTCGTCTCATTGAGCCACGAGAACTCATTTTCAAGAGAGACCTGTTTAGGGAGCACATGGTGGGGGTTAAGGGCCTTGCTCATGGGCCCAGAGTGGGGCGAATGAGGGTGGGGGCAAGTGTAGTCCCTCGCTACTAGGGGTTGAACGACTACATAATTTTTAAACTCGACATTAACATCATAAAACTCGAGTAGAACTCGAGTAGTTGATGATGTCATAGGATCTCAAGATGCAATAATAAATAAATAAAACCACAAAAAAAGTCATTTATTATTTACAAAAAAAGACCAACAAAACATTGGGAGCGTAAATTATGCTCCTACCATTTATCATACTGCAAAGGAAAACCAAAAATATTAGTTTTTATTATTAAGCTGCAAAAGTGAAAGAAACGTGCAGCACGTAAAAAACAAAACTTAAAAATAGTGGGGCGGCCGATCACCCTGCACCACCGCATTAGGTTTAGTTTTAGAGATTAATATGTTTATAGTTTTTTTTTTATAGGTTTAGAGATTAATATTTTTGCTTTTAGTTTGTGAAACAAGGTCAGAGGAAGCTGGTTCTGGTTTGGTCATTAGACCCGGTGTTACACCATATTCTGTGACCTGCAACAATGCATGCAACACCGCCCCCTACGGTCACAATATACGGTGGTCACAAAATATGGTGTAACACCGGTTAGCAACGAGCTCCAAACAGTCAGGAAGTTGATACATTTTCTGTTTCCTTATGATAGTTGAACTGGAAGATTCATCTTTAGTGAAATATTTCCAGACTATTGATGTATTTCTACCTGGGTGCCAAGACTGGACCTGTTCCGCTCCATCTGTCTGCTTGGAGGAATCCATTTTGTAACCCACGCCCAGTGCGAATCACGTGACGCAATGACGTAACAGCGATGTAATGACGTCACTACGAATACTCAACATGAAATTAAAAAACTGGATAGATGTCCTAGGAATCTATGTGTCGATTACTCGAGTAGTCTGTTAAAGCCCTACACACGGTTCAACTTTTAGACTCAGTTTCACGGCGATTGTAAAATTGTACACGACACACGATTGGCTGATTGATTGAAGGCAACCAACCAGAGTCGTGCTCTGTATCCTGGGCGCTGATTGGCTCAGTAACTGTAGCATCAGAGTGTCTGCTCTCTTTCGCTGTGCTGTTTTGTGAAGAAGAAGCGGTGCCAGTAACTCCCCATAACTATTGTTGTGTTTTTTCCTCTTACTTCTCCACCCGAGCTCTGCTGTTACCGGTCAATCCTGCAGGAGTCAGGACACGCACTCAGAATATGACACACGCACCTTCAAGTTTACGAATATTTAATAAGCAAAGAAAGTCAGAAGTCATAGATTCACAAGCATAAACAGTGGATTAGTTAAATGCAGTCATTATTTTAACATATTTTATAATTGGATGCATCCATTAATCTATACGATACAACCTTATTAAGGAGGATTCTGAAGAAGACCGTCTCTCTGCTTCATCTGGCTGCCGCTTCGTCTGCAGAAAACTGCACTTTCTTTGTCTAAAAACAGGGCGTTCCTTCACACAGCAAAACTAACTTTTCACCGCGCGTTCTGAGCCTGCTGTCATGGGATTGGCCAGTTACAATCCAATCAGAAATGTGAGACATCGTGTTACATTATGTAAACAGGAACAGAAATCAATCTGTGGGAGCCTCTTCAAAGTAAAACAGGAAATGGGCCAATTTCAAAGTAAAACAAGAAGTGGGAGTCGAGATTCAACAAAGAACACAATCTTATTTCACAACACTATGTTCATCACTTGAACAAAGAGCTGGGTTTATAAAGCCTTAAAATAAATACTAAAATAAATATAACATCCCTACTTCACAGATTTTCACCTATCGCAGGGGTGTCTGAAACATAACCCCCACGATAAGTGAGGGACTACTGGAGCAGTGAATACTGGGTAACATTAAGTCACACAAAAACCTTAGAAGGAATGGTCCACTTTAGACACTGTTGGAACCGACATGGGCTCAGCAGCACGCCCGTACTGGCAACTCTGTTGTATGACGTACTATATGAATTACTGCGATATACAGTCACATGACCTTTGAAAATTCACAGTTCATTTCAACTAAAATATCAGCAAAAGTAGCTTACAACAGGTTTGTTTGATGATAAAACAGATGACAATGACAGAACAAACAACTGCTGCTCACAGTTTCAAACTTGATGTGACGTGATTCTGCTCGTTGGTCAGTGACAGAAATAATTTACACAAGGTAAGCAGTGTCTCCCACAAGTTTATAGAAAATGATAGAATAATCCTAAATAAACTTCAATTGCTTCTGACAATTCAATACGAAATAATATCCATCCATCTTTACCTGCTTCTTCCTTTTTGGGTCACTGGTGCCCATGTCCAAATTTGTCCCTAAAGGTGTGAGTGAAGAAATAATATAAATCTTGAATAAAAAGAGAACATTTGGAGAAAATCTGAACGCGCTCACCTGAAATGTATTAAGCGGAGGCGGTGTAGAAATGAAGCTTGAAGAATATGGTTAGTTGACAGTCTTTTGTTAGTATTTCTGTTCTTTTCACTCTCCTTGATCCCGATCTCTCTTCCAGTATCATGGGTCTGTATGTGTCCGTGGTCCTGGTCATTGGGAAGTTTGTGCGTGGCTTCTTCAGTGAGATTTCCCACTCCATCATGTTTGAGGAGCTGCCTTGTGTGGACCGCATCCTGAAGCTTTGCACTGATATTTTCCTGGTTAGTGTCAAACATGTCTACATTAACACTCACACCCTCTAAATGCTTTTTATCACCAGGAGGATGCACCTGCTTTTTACCATGACCGTAAACAAACACAGTATGAACAGGCAAACATATTTTAGTTATTAGTGTTCTGGATTGTCTATATTCTCATCTCTGTGTGTTTTGAAGGTGCGAGAAACAGGAGAGCTGGAGTTGGAAGAGGAGCTTTACTCCAAACTGATCTTCCTCTATCGATCTCCAGAGACGATGATCAAATGGACTCGAGACATCCACATTAGAGAGCAGGACTGATACAAACTGCCTGGGAGAACATGTTTACTCGTGGTGTGAAACATAATGGGAAAAAGGCCCACTGGACGACAGATGATGGGCCTTGGGAGAATGTTTCAGTCAAAGCCGATATAGCCATTACAGGAGATGTGGCAAACAATGCAATGTGAAACACCTGGTCTTACTGAACTAATGCTGTTTACATAGAAGCTGCTTGGCCTCTTGGATCAAATCAAACTCAGAACACTATTGAACTGGGATTATAGTCTCACTGTAGGTGGGACTGGCAGCAGCTGTACATCTGTTGTCCTGTAGGAGACACAATAATCAGGGAGAACGGATTCAGCTCGCACATCTGGCTGTTTGTAATGGTCGAATGTCAAAGGCCAAACAAGACATGCAACTTGTTTTCAACTTTATTTGAACCGCCAGCTGTGAGTGACCCTTACTGGTGGCAAGAGTAGCAGCAGTGGCTTCAGGTCAATTAGTCTTTCTACCAAGTCGTACTTTTGTAACTTTGGTCATCGTGTGTGTGTGTTTTACAGAGTAGTTGGAGAAGTTTCCCTTTTTGCTGCAGGAGGAAGAGGTGGGATTTTCCAGCTGTCAGCAAAGATAAAACATGTGACCTGTGCTGGTAAAATAAGTCAGAATGAGCACAGGCTGCAGCGCAAACAAGTAAAATAACAATTGTTGTTGTAGTGGAGAATTTTATAAAGATGAACCTGTAAAGTCACAATGCAACAATCCCGGTAATTAAAATCACATTTAACCTTCCTGATCTACCTTTAAATTAAAGTTTTCTAACAGAAGATTCTTTAGAAATCTTTTTTTTTTAATCCCTGCACGTTTTAATATGCTTTGAAACTGACCATTTTTCTGTGATGGCTGCTGGAAAATCCTTTCGTATAATGTCTGGCATAATTGTGAAGCTTGGGATTCTCCTTTTAAAAATATATGACTGACATTTCTGGTGAAATCACCCCAGACCAAAAAAAATATACAGTAGTTTTCAAACTGGTACTCTTCTAAACAAAACTCAATTTCAACAAATTGCATTTTGAAGCTTTTAAAGATTAACTGGATCTGAACATTTCCTTAGTGACTCATTTTACCAGAATGGTTCACATGAATTATGCTCATTTCAACCCATCACCATAGCTTCTACCATGATGGCCATGTCTTGGTACGTTTGAGGTTGTGCCGTACTTTTCCAGTTTGAGATGGAATGAACCGTTTCCACAACTTTTTCAAAGCTTGAGATGTTTATAACCTAACCCTGCTTTGAAACCTCTCAACAACTTTACCCTTGACCTGTCCGGTGTGTTCCTTGCTCTTTATGATGCTGTTTGTTACAGAACATTAATGATCAAACTTCTGAGGCCTTCAGGGAACAGTTGGATTTATTCTGAGATCAATTAAAATGCACACAGGTGGACTCCAGTTACTAATGAAGTGACTTCTGAAGGCAACTGTTTCCCTGGATTTTAGTTCTGGTGTCAGGGTAAAGGGAGCTGAATACAAATGCACGCCACACTTTTCAGATTTTATTTGTAAAAACATTTGAAAACCATGTTTGATTTTATACGATTACGTGCTGCTTGGTGTTGGTCTGTCTTAAAATCCCAGTAAAATGGTTTGAAGTTTGTGGTTGTACTGTGATCAGATGTGGAGAAGTTTGTGATTTGAAGAGTTTTTTCAAGACCTGTCCATCTTTATCCATTTATTTTCTGTACCAGCTGGCACATGGGTGAGAACTGCTTCACTCCCTGTTGGTACAAAAACTTGAGTGTGAAGGTGACAGCCAGGTGCTGCTGATCACATGTATTCATTAACAGATCATCAGTGTGACGCAACAGCTTCTTGACAGTTTGCTGCTCTGGAGCAGACAACTGTTAAAATGTCAGAGAAAAGAGACCTTACAGAAGCAACAATTGCTGCTATTGGCTACTTTCAGTTAAAAGACTATACATAAATAGGGATTTGTTATTGTGTTTGTACAGTCTAATATAAATTCTTAATCAGAACAGAATACGCAGGATCCTGCTGCAAACTTAAAAAAAAACTTAAGTCTGCTCTGGCGTTCATGAATACTAAGTGTTTGATTTTATTTATGAGCTGTCCTCGGTGGTGGTTATCGAGATGAACATCCAGATACCTGGACATTCTAAAGACATCTTTGAGGTTATTAGAAAGAAAAATTAAGAAGTTTTGGGACTTTTTCCTTTTTCTCTTGTCCATCTTCAAGATGATGAAACTGTTTCATGCTAAAAAGTCATCAACCAGTTCCCTGTACTCCTGATCTCCATCACTGACAGCTGAAGAGTCGTGAGTATTTCTGCTACTGACAGGATTAAAAGTAGTTTCCTGCAGTACTCCTGCACTGTTGACCATCCTCAGACACAATTCATCAGCCTCATGTCTGTCAGATTATCAATAATCCAGACTTTTGTGGAAACATCCACCGGATATCTGGAGCTTCTTTGGAAGCAGTGCAGGAAAACTGACATTTTTGTATTGTTTTATTGGTCAACTTGATATTTGAGCTGTTTAAGCTTCTAGTTTTGCAACTTTTGGTTGAACAAACCTTGTGAAGTTTTAACTTTTCTCCTCTTTGATAAGTCACATTATTTGACTCCGACTTGTAGGTTCACAAAAAAGTTTTACCTGATTATGTTCCATATAATTAATTTTTAATTACCAAAGCAAGTTTTTGTGCAGCTTCACGGTGTATGTCAGTTGGGATTGACATTTTATTGTTATGGAGTTACATAATGTTCTCCAGAGTACCTGAATGCACGTACATAGACTGCTTGATGCTGAATAAAGTATCTCCTGTAAAAATCAACAACACTTGATACTTGCAGGGAATATTGTGCTGCACTCCCTGGACATTTTTCTAAATGATGCTGGAAATCAATTTTAACAGTGAACCCTTTGCTCTAATCTCCATTTAAATCCCATCAAACGTAATTCTATGTGGGTTTCATACTATTAAAATAAGTTTTTTGTCCGTTTGTTTTGTTAAACTTCTCCTAGGATTGCACCAAACTAGATGTTGGAATTCAACCTTTATTTATACAGATTAAACCCACTGAGCCTCGGGACTCATGTACAAGAGAGACCTTAAAATGTTTACATAAAAAATGTGTGTGTATGTAAATAAATTGGCAAATATAAAATTAGTTGCAACATTTTCTGAACATGTGAGGCTATGTGATGTTTTAAAAGGTATATCATTGTCAAATATGACACGTTTTGGTATAATTTCTATTTATGAGCAGTATTTTGTTTTCCCAATGTAAAACAGCATTACTAGTGACAGGGATGCTTAATGGCAAAATCATTTCAATCAGGCAGTGTAATTGGTGCTGGAAATTTTTGTATATGAATGATGCAAAGCGGCACGTCAAGCCCAAATAAAATCAGCAACAATCTGCAGATGCTGAAGAATCTCATTTAACTTGAAAAGATGTGAAAAGAGGAAAATAAAACATGCTTATGATGACATTTATTTTCTTCCAACAATAGTAGTGCATTCAGGGTTTGATAATGCGTTTGCATGTCATTACAGCTGATGGAGAACACCTGCGCGAGCTGTCAGATGTCTCTGGCTGCGTCACAGGTGGCAGCCTCAAAAAAAATGAACAGAGCAGCAAGTTTAAACATACAAACAAAACAAAACAAAAAAACATGTTTAGACATGGCTTCTTGCAACCATGTCTAGACAAGGCTTCTTACAATCGAATTTATACGCGGCTCCTTGCAAGCAAGTTTAAAAACGACTCCCTGCATCTTCATTTAGACGCGGCTTCTTGCAAGGAAGTTTAGAAGTGTTTTCTTACAACCGTGTTTAGACGTGGCTTCTTGCAAGGAAGTTTAGATGCAGCTTCTTGCAACCACGTTTGGATGCGGCTTCTTACAATCACATTTATACGTGGCTCCTTGCAAGGAAGTTTAGAAGTGGGTTCTTGCAACCGCGTTTAGAAGTGGATTCTTACAAGCAAGTTTAGATGCAGCTTCCTACATCTTCAATTAGACGCAGCTTCTTACAACCACTTTTAGACGCGGCTTCTTGCAACCGCATTCAGACGCGGCTTCTTACAAACACATTTGGATGCGGCTTCTTACAATCGCATTTATACACAACTCTTTGCAAGCAAGTTTAGACATGGCTTCCTACATCTTCAATTAGACGCGGCTTCTTACAACCGTATTTTGATGCAGCTTCTTGCAACCACTTTTAGACGCGGCTTCTTGCAACCGCATTCAGACGAGGCTTCTTGCAAGTAAGTTTAGACGCGGCTTCTTACAACCACGTTTGGATGCGGCTTCTTACAATCACATTTATACGTGGCTCCTTGCAAGCAAGTTTAGACGCGGCTTCTTACAACCACGTTGAGACACGGCTTCTTGCAAGGAAGTTTAGAAGTGGGTTCTTGCAACCGCCTTTAGAAGCGGCTTCTTGCAAGGAAGTTTAGACGTGGCTTCTTGACACCACGTTTAGATGCGGCTTCTTACAAGCAAATTTAGACGCAGCTTCCTACATCTTCAATTAGACGCAGCTTCTTACAACCACTTTTATACGCAGCTTCTTGCAACCGCATTCAGACGCGGCTTCTTGCAAGGAAGTTTAGAAGTGTATTCTTGCAACCGGGATAAGATGCGGCTTCTTGCA